CTGGAGAGTCTCGCAGGTTCGTCGTGTCGTCCCCCAAGCCGACGCGACACAGTCCAAGAGTCACCAGGAGCGCCCGAGAATGGATCTATCTTATTTATCACGTGATCAATCCAAGTATCTATCGGTCTCACTATCTCTCGTTCTCACTATCTTCAAGTTATCTCACTGCCAGTATGTTTGTCGATCTCATTATCCATCTGCCGGGCCAAACATCGGGACAACAATCGGGACGACCAACGGGACAAGCAACCATCCGGACGGCCATCGGGACAACCATCCGCACGGCCATCGGGACAACCATCCGCACGGCCATCGGGACAGCCATTGGGAGGATAGCCAGGAGCAGCCGACCAGAGAGCCAGGGGCGACTCATCCTGGCCTGACCTCTGGCCCCTCCCGGCGCAGGAACCCGTGCAGCCTCGCCTCGCCTCGCCTCGCGCGCCAGGCACGCCACGCACGCAACGAAATGACTTGCTGGTTGGGGCAGCTCACGTTTCATCATCATCATCATCATCATCATCATCATCATCATCATCATCATCATCATCATCATCATCATCATCATCATCATCATCATCATCATCATCATCATCATCATCATCATCATCATCATCATCATCATCATCATCATCATCATCATCATCATCATCATCATCATCATCATCATCATCATCATCATCATCATCCTCATCATCGTCATCATCATTCTCTTCGGTCTCACCCCTCTGTCTCCGATACTCTACGTAGGCCTCCCGGATGGAGTGGGAGTAGACGGGTTCGGAGGGCCGCGCCGCATCGCTGGTGCGGCTCGATGTGGAGCCCGATTTGCTCCACGTCGACGTTGCGGATGCGTCGATGACGCCGACGATGCGTCGCTGGTGCATCCCCGATGCGTGGCCGATGCACCGCTGATGCATCGGCGATGCGGCGCGATCCTCCGACCCCGTCTGCTCCGACCCCGTCTGGGAGGCCTCTGGGCCCCTGCCGGTCTCTCAGGCTCTGCCCCGCCGGCCGCTGGGCCCGCGGAGCGGGCAAGCGCCGGCCAGACCAGGGCCCAAGCTCCTTGAGCCGGTGTCGACTTGTCTAAGACCTTGCGTGTACATCGTTAGATGACTCCGGCTCCTGTCCCAGGCGTTCCTTTTCCTGTGTAAGCTCCTCGGCACCGCCTGCACCCCGGCCCGCCCTCCGGCCGCCTGAGGCCCCGCCCGCCTGTGCTCTGTCTCCCCAATTAGAGCTGTGCGTGGCCCGCCTACCTTTAAACCGGAAGAGGCTCGCTCTCGCCCCGCCGACCAAAAAGTGAACATCGTTGGACGAGTGCCGATGGTGCAGGGCCCAGGCATCCGACGATGTGTTACCTAACAGCGAAGACTGATAGGTTTCTAGTGGTGTCAAAAGAGAGCATCTGATGACTCAGAAGGGAGGTCTGGGCGGCATCCGGACAGCGAGGGCCGGGCTCAGGGCCGGGCTCGAGCCACACATTTTGACCTCCCAGAACTCCATTCCCGGGCCACATTTTGAATGCCCGGAGCCAACTGTAGGCCACTTCGTGCTCTTCGACTTCCCAGAACTCCATTCCCGGGCCACATTTTGGATGCCCGGAGCCAACTGTAGGCCACTTCGTGCTCTTCGAGTCCCAGAACTCCATTCCCGGGCCACATTTTGAATGCCCGGAGCCAACTGTAGGCCACTTCGTGCTCTTCGAGTTCCCAGAACTCCATTCCCGGGCCACATTTTGAATGCCCGGAGCCAACTGTAGGCCACTTCGTGGTCTTCGAGTTTCCAGAACTCCATTCCCGGGCCACATTTTGAATGCTGAGGCAGGCTGATGCTGAGGCTGAGGCAGGCTGAGGCTCAGGCTGAGGCTGAGGCAGGCTGAGGCTGAGGCCGAGGCTGAAGGCAGACTGAGGCTGAGGCTGAAGCAGGCTGAGGCTGAGGCTGAGGCAGGCTGAGGCTGAGGCTGAGGCAGGCTGAGGCTGAGGCTGAGGCTGAGGCTGATGCAGGCTGAGGCTGAGGCAGGCTGAGGCTGAGGCCGAGGCTGAAGGCAGACTGAGGCTGAGGCTGTGAGGCTGAGGCTGAGGCTGAGGCAGGCTGAGGCTGAGGCTGAGGCAGGCTGATGCTGAGGCAGGCTGAGGCTGAGGCTGAGGCTGATGCAGGCTGAGGCTGAGGCAGGCTGAGGCTGAGGCCGAGGCTGAAGGCAGACTGAGGCTGAGGCTGAAGCAGAGGCTGAGGCTGAGGCAGAGGCAGGCTGAGGCTGAGGCTGAGGCAGGCTGATGCTGAGGCAGGCTGAGGCTGAGGCTGAGGCTCATGCAGGCTGAGGCTGAGGCAGTCGGAGGCTGAGGCGAGGCTGAAGGCAGAGATGCTGACTGCTGAGGCTGAGGCTGAGGCAGGCTGAGGCTGAGGCTGAGGCAGGCTGAGGCTGAGGCTGAAGCAGGCTGAGGCTGAGGCTGGCTGAGGCTGAGGCTGAGGCAGGCTGAGGCAGGCTGAGGCTGATGCAGGCTGAGGCTGAGGCTGAGATGCAGGCTGAGGCTGGGCAGGTGAGGCTGAGGCCGAGGCTGAAGGCAGACTGAGGCTGAGGCTGAGCGCAGGCTGAGGCTGAGGCTGAGGCAGGCTGAGGCAGGCTGAGGCTGAGGCTGAGGCAGACTGAGGCTGAGGCAGGCTGAGGCTGAGGCAGGAAGGCTGAGGCTGAGGCTGAGGCTGAGGCTGAGGCTGAGGCTGAGGCTGAGGCAGGCTGATGCTGAGGCAGGCTGAGGCTGAGGCTGAGGCTGATGCAGGCTGAGGCTGAGGCAGGCTGAGGCTGAGGCCGAGGCTGAAGGCAGACTGAGGCTGAGGCTGAAGCAGGCTGAGGCTGAGGCAGAGGCAGGCTGAGGCTGAGGCTGAGGAGGCAGGCTGATGCTGAGGCAGGCTGAGGCTGAGGCTGAGGCTGATGCAGGCTGAGGCTGAGGCAGGCTGAGGCTGAGGCCGAGGCTGAAGGCAAACTGATGCTGAGGCTGAAGCAGGCTGAGGCTGAGGCTGAGGCAGGCTGAGGCTGAGGCTGAGGCAGGCTGAGGCTGAGGCTGTGACTGCGACTGCCGTTGCCACTGCGACTGTCATCGCGAAAGCGACTACGACTGCGAGAACAGCAAATTCTACAACTGGATTCTCATCTGAATCTTAAGGGGAATGCTTCCAGATATGCTCCTACACATCGCTGTTAGGTTGCTTTGCCGGGATAATTTTTGTCCAGTGCGCGGCCCCAGAGGTACCTGCTTTTCCACAGGAGGAATTTTCCGTCCCGATCCACTTCTGATGGTCCAGGACCCGACGAGGTGCGCCCCAGAGGCCGAAATCGAGGAGCCTCGCCGGGATTGTCACGTTCGAGTCGTCGGAGATTTGGGGTGAGACATGTTCTCCAGCGGTGCACGAGGAGGAAACACCGACCACGGGCCAGCAGAGGAGGACGAGTTGTCGAGTGCTCGTCGTCCCTGGTGTGATCGGACCCCGGCAGCTGTAGCAGGTAGGGCAGTGCCGAGGGGAGGCACCACAAGGGCGGATCACCAGTTCCTCCCGAGGATCCAGGCTTTGGGATAGAAGCGAGAGGAAGTTGTGATCGTTTTTTTATTCATTGTTTTGCCGATCGGCGCGGGCCCTCGCACCCCCCCCCCCCCCATGGAGTAGATTTTGGCTGTTTTTGACGCCTGTTTCGAGCAGGTGGAGTCCCCCCCATCGGACGCACTGTCGCAGACGGTCGTGCTGAGCAGAGGTCCAGAACGAGACCCCCCTCCCCCCCTTCCGCCCAAGGTCGAAGCGCCGAATGAGAAACCGCTCGCGTTTGCGGACGTTTGGGGCCGCTCTTTCGGGGGGCTCCGGCGTGTGCGGGGGGGGGCATGTCCTCAGGGGCGCGCACTGCCCGGGCAGAGGGCGAGGCCGCGATGCTGCGAGGGGCGCCGCGCCGCCCACCGCCACCGCAGGTGAGCTTCACCATCACGGAGACGCCCAGGAGGGGCGGAGGGCTCGGCGGCTGCCAGGGTGAGCTCCGCCTCCTCTCGGGGAAGCGTGAGACTCGAGTAAGCCGGAGCTCGGCTTTGCCGACGTTTTCTGACGAGCGTGTCTCGGATTTTGACGGTCCAGTTTTCGCGGGAGGTTTGCAGCGGGAGCTCGCGTCAAGTTTCAGACTGGGCCCTCGTCCTTTTCAGGATGGCCCCGTCAGGCCAACTCGAGTCCCCCGTACCGGAGTCTTACGTCTCCCCGATTCTCGGTCTCCTTCCGAGGCAGAGACTGGCCCGCCTGGGAAGCCGCTCTTCCCTCGAGGGAGGGAACACGATGACCAATACCAAAAGATGTCGCGTGATCTTGTCGACGCTACTCTTGGTCGTGGTTCATGCTGGCTGTCGCCGATTCGCGAGGATGATCCGCGAATTGACGATGACCAATATGGACGCTGACCAAGATCGAAGCCGAAGTTTCCACGTTCAGTCTTGGTCAGGGCCCTCGTTGTTTTTCCCTCCCTTCCTGGACCTCGGGTGGTGGTGGGCATTGACATGGTTCGGATTATTTCCTGGGGCCTTGGATATCGATCCATATATATATATATAGGCATACACATGCATACATATCTATGTATATATATACACATACATATTTATATGTATATATATATATATATGTGTATATATACGTATATATATACAAATATATGTAGATATCCATGTTTGCCGCCCCCTTGGGGTCTCAGATAGTCGGTTCCCCAGGCGGCGGTGGATGTGTATTTCCCCAGAGTGCCCTGTACTTCCCTTCTTGCAGCGGGGTGAGACAGACGAAAGAGGGCTGTGAACGCCTCTCGCGAAGCTAGCGGCAGATCGACACCGCGCAGAGGCAGCCGGAACGCAGATCCCTGCCGAAGCTCCAGAATCGTGCGATCTGGGCTGACCCTGGGAGACCTGGAGCCGCTCGAACGCCAGAGCAGACAGGCTGGATGGAGTCGCCCCGGGATCCCGCCCGGCCAGCGATCGCGCCGCGCCGACGGAGCCCGACGCGATGCAGATCGGGTGCTCGTCGGCGCGAGGTCTCCCAGTGCGGCAGGGTTCGTGGCGGGTCGGCGCGGCCGCGACCCCAGCGTGGGCTTGCAAGGTTGGACGCCGCCAGTGGCCCATAATGGGCCTGCATGGACCGATCTGGCGATCGACAAGCCTCAGCAGGGAACAGAAACACACAGACATAATTCATCGTCGATCCCCCAGGAAAATATGGGAAAATATAGGAAGTGGGGGGGAAGACAGAAACCCAGAAAATATAGGAAAATATGGGTAACTTTTTTTGTTTGTGTGTATTTATTTGTGTGTCCTGGGGCCCCTTCAAACATGGATCGATCTGGCGATGGACGGGCCGCCGATCGTGCAGAGGTGAGCGAGCCACGCGCAGTGGGAGGTAGCCAGCGCCAGGGTTGTCGCGACACGAGCCCGCCGTGTCGTCCATCCACAGCGCCTTGGCATCGCTCGGACGTGTGCGTTTTTTCCTCGGCGAGGGGCATCGAGGAGCATTCTTGATCACTTTGCGAAAAAAACACGCACGAAACCGAACAAAACACAGGGAATGGACGTCCGAGCGATGGCCAGGCGCGCGTGCGACGGCGGAGAACGCACGGCAACTCTGGCCAGGTTCGGCCACGCGCAGAGGGGGGTACAGTCGGAGGGGGATCAGGAGGAAAAGAAGCACACAGACACAATTCATCGTCGATCCCCAGGGAAATATGGGAAAATATGGGAAGTGGGCGGGAAGACAGCGACCCAGAAAATATGGGAAAATATGGGGAATCTTTTTATTTGTGTGTGTGTGTGCATTTATTTGTGTGTCCCAGTTCCCCTTCAGGGGAGGGCTTCTGAGAAGGAGGCTGCTTCTTGGAAGGCGCGGGCCTTGCAGTCAAGCCGCATAGCAAGGATGAGCGGCTTTCCAAGGTCACCCCCTGCATCCCTCCCCTTCGGCCCATGCTTGGCCGCTATCGCTGACCGCGCCCCGCTCGCAAAATGCCGACATGGCCTTCCAGGGCCCTTGCACCCGTAGCGTGCGTCCTAATTCTACGGGTTGACTGTATCGGCGGCGAGCGACGGGGTGAAATGAGAAGGAGACGGCCTTCTCCGAGATCGGCAAGGCTTCTCAGAAGCCCTCGCGCCTTTGATGAGTTTTTTTCTGTCTTCGGGGGAGGCTCGGAGGACTTCTCGGAAGGCCGGGGACTCCCGAGCCTCCCGAGAAGGCCAGGGAGGCACGGCAACCTCGGCCATGGGGAGCAGGCAGGTCGCCAGCGGCGCGCGAAGGATACAGACCCCCCAGGCCGAAGCGTTGGCCCTCTCCACTGATGGGCCGCGCACGGGCGCGAGGGCAGCCGCGCGGGCGCGCGGGGCGAGGGCGAGGGCGGCGAGGCACGGGCCGCCGCGAGGGCGCGCAAGCGACCCTCGAGGCGCGGCCCGCGAGGCCATCGGCTCCTCTCTCTCTCTCGCTCTACTCGCCCTGCTGCTCCTCCTCCTCCTCCTCCTCCTTCTCCTCCTCCTCCCCCTCCCCCTCCTCCTCCTCTCTCCTCCCTCCTCCTTCTCCCCCTCCTCCTCCTCCTCCTCCTCCTCCTCCTCCTCCTCCTCCTCCTCGTCCTCCTCCTCCTCCTCCCCCCCCTCCCTCTCCTCCTCCCCCTCCCTCTCGCTCTCCTCGTTCTGCTCCTCGCCCCTCGGAGGGCGGCGCGAGAGCGCGAGGCGATGCGCGCGCCGCGCCTCGCGGAGCGCAAGCACAGGCTCTGAGGATGCCTCCCTGGCCGAGCCCCGGAGGGCGCACGCACCGGGCCTGGGCCCAGAGTGTGCCCCGCCAGGATCGGTGAGGTGGCCAGCTTCGGGGGCGGCCACGAGGGGGCAGGGCGACGAGATCTGCACACATCCACTGCTCCTGGCCAGGGCCATCCTGGTCCAGCTCGGGCCTGCGGGGCGGCGGGAGGCAGCGGAGGGGGCCTCGAGCGATGGTCGCGTGCTCCACGGGGGAGGCGGCACGGGCCGCGGAGGCGACCGCGCGGAGCCGTTCGCGGCAGGTTCGCGCCTCGTCGACCTGGCTGCGATGCCCGCGCGGGCGTTCAAGTTTGACGGGGGCGGCCAAGAGGGGGTGATGATTGGGGGGTTCATGGTCCCCTATCTTCATTTCAGTATGTACCTCGGTCGCAAATCGTGGGGGCCTGGTGTACCCTCTCAATTCCGGCTCCAGCGTCGAGGAGCGCCGGTCAGCGTCTGGGAGTCGATGAGGTAGCGCCGATTTAGCGTCGGTTAGCGTCGATTAGCGTCGATTTAGCGTCGATTAGCGTCGACTAGCGTCGGTTTAGCGTCGATCAGCGTCGATTCGCAAGAGCTGACAAGATGATATGGGAGGCTTCCACGAGTTGCCACCGAAATGTGCCCTGGCCCCCGCCTGTGCCGCGCACGTGCCGCTGGCCTGACCCCCCTAGTTGTTTGTCGCCCCCCCTCTCTTGGATGCCCCCGAGTTCGAGTGCCGTCGGTGGCCCAGAATCGGCCGATGTCGATCAGGAGATGAAAGAAAAACACAGACACAATTAATCCTCGATTCCCCAGAAAATATGGGAAAACATGGGAAGACAGAAATCCAGAAAATATGGGAAAATATGGGGATCTTTTTATTTGTGTGTATTTATTTGTGTGTACTGGGGCCCCTTTAGTCGACCGATCTGCGCCACAGTCGAGGCTGATTAGTAGGCCGACCCTGCCAAATCAAGGGTGCCCTCAAGTCCTGCGGTAGGTTCACGCGGCGATGGCGCGCCAGCGACGCCAGCGAAGGCGTTCAAGGGTGAACTCCGCATGATAGAACGACGCGGAAGCACGGATGGGCACGGCAACGTCAGAGGACCCGACGGAATTCAACCCTGAACGATCGGGGCCGCGATCGGTTCAAGGTTGAACGCTCGACGCCATGTCAAAATTTTTTGCGCGTGCTGACTCCACGCGAACTTATCGTATGGCAATGTGGCCCTCAGAAAGGTCATGCGTATAGACCTTGGATGGGGTCGGAGTAGATGGGGTCGGAGGATCGCGCCGCATCGTAGAGCCCGATTTTCTTCACGCCGACGTCGCCAGTGCATCACCGACTTTGGCGGTGCATCGCCGATACATGGCCGATGTATCGCCGATGCATTGGCGATACGGCGCAATCCTCCGACCACATCTACTCCAACGCCATCTGGGAGGCCTCTATTGTTGTGCCCTCTCGCGTGTCCTCTCCAAGCAGCCTCGACGGTACTGAAAGGCCGCGGTCGCTCCAGGCTGCACGACCCTCATGCGGTGCCAGAAGCCCACGCGCAGGTCGTCGCGGCACAGACCAGCCTGGACCTCCGGGGGATGGTGGCAGGCGGCAGGGGTCAGGGGTACAGTTCAAAACGATCGAGCTGGGTACGGAAAGAATGGGTACGAAGACCGACAGCAGTTCCTGATCATTTCGAAGCGGACCCGCTGTGGGTGTCGCCGCGGACGTTGCCCATTCGAGACAGAAGGCCGCCTGTCCAACAGCCTCCGCTGTCGGTTTTGGACCACCTTTGTTTTTGGGCATCGCATCCATTTTTTCCCGTACCCACTTCGGGCGTCCACAACAGCCAACCCGCACAGTAAGGACGAGCAATTTTCCAAGGTCACCCTTGCGTCCTTCCCCTTCGGCCCATCCTTGGCCGCTCTCGCCTGCCGCGCCCTGTCCGCAGAGTGCCGACTTGGCCCTCCGAGGCCCTTAGCATCCTCGTCGTGCGTCATTCTGCGGGGTGGACTGTACTGGCCGGGGGGTCTGGCCCAGGGGGGCAAACATTGACCCCCAATCGCCTACAGTGGAGGCCCATGCCAAGAAACACCCTGCCTGCCTCCAGGGTGCCCCGGGGTTTCCTGGGTTTCGATGGTTTTGCTGTGGAAGGCGTGACGTTCCCACACCAAGAATCGATGGACGTCCTGGGGTCTCAGGGCCGGATCTCTTGCGCCAGGTTTCTTGCGGTCGGGCCCTACTGTACTCGTCACTCGTCGGAGGCCTGTCCCCTTCACCCCGGCGGAGGAGGAGGAAGAGGAGGAGGAGGAGGAGGCGAAGGAGGAGGAGGAGGAGGAGGAGGAGGAGGAGGAGGAGGAGGAGGAGGAGGAGGAGGAGGGAGGAGGAGGAGGAGGAGGAGGAGGAGAGGAGGAGGAGAGGAGGAGGAGGAGGAGGGGGAAGCCACATCTGCGGCCCGTCGCCGCCGCCGGGGCCACTGCCTGCCCCCTCTGGAGCCGGCCCCCCCCCCTTCCCGCGGTGGGCTCGTGGCGTGTCGACGCGGCTGCGACCCCAGCGCCCGGCGGTCCAGGCGGAACGCCGTGGGTGGCCCGGAGTCGGCCAGCACGGAGCGATCTGGCGATGGAGGAGCAGCCGATCCTTCGAGGGTGGGACGCTCTGCGCGGTGGCAGAGACCAGCCCCAGGGTCGCCGCAGCACGAGCCTGCCGCATCGTTCCCTCGCAGGCAGGAGGCAGGGGAGGGGGCCTCAAGCGATGGACGTGTACTCCCTCGAGAAGGCGGCACGGCCCAGCTCTCCTCGCCCGCCTTCCGACGCTATCGGGGGGCTATAGCGGTCACAGAGCGGCTTTGCGAGGCTGCCCTGCGTGGAACGCGTCCGCGGGATCGCGCATCCATCGGATCACGCCTGGGTATCCAGGCCGCGGAGGCACGGATATAGACAGGTTCGCCGCTCGTGACGTGTGCCTGTTTTCTCTGCTTTCTGCTCCCCGACGTGGACGCCCAGGGGTCCCGATCCCCTCCCTGGAGCTGTCTTTTCTTCTCGAGCAGTTCTTGTTGACGGTCGCAGGGCCTGGTGAGGGCCCCCAGAGGCCGAAATTCCAGGAGAATGGTCAGTCGCATTTTCTTTTGTTCGCGGCGCGAGGAGGCCAGGTTGTCCAGCTGCCTGCGGCAGTTCTGGGCAGCATCACGGGGCGCGGCTGTTCGAGGGTGCTAGGACCGTGATGATGATATTGTTGCCGCTTTCGATGATGATGCTGATGATGTTGTTAATGCTGCTGCTGATGCTGATGCTGCTGCTGCTGCTGATGATGATGATGCTGATGATGATGCTGATGATGATGATGATGATGATGATGAGGATGATGAGGAGGAGGATGCTAATGATGATTATATCATTCATATTCGTACTATTATTGTTATTGCTGTTCGTAGCCTTATTATTGACGATATTCTTGGCATCCGTTGTTAGTCTTGTTGTCAATGTCATGTTACTGATGATGCTGATGCTGATTCTGATGATGGTTATGATGATGGTGGTGATGCTGATGATGATGCTGATGATGCTGATGCTGATGCTGATGATGTTGATGATAATGATGACGGTGATGGTGATGGTGATACTGATGACGTCGATGATGATGTCTATGCTTATGCTTATGCTGATGCGGATGCTGCTGCCGATGATGGTCGTGATGAAGATGAGGATGCTGATGGTGATGCTGATGCCGATGCCGCTGATGCTGCTGCTGCTGATGATGGTGATTCGGATGATGACGATGGTAAGGATCATGATGGTGGTGGTGGTGGTGGTGATGATGATGACGAGGATGAGGAAGATGAGGAGGAGGTGAAGGAGGAGGAGGAGGAGGAGAAGGAGCAGGAGTTGGTAGAGGGCATGTTACTATTGGCAACAGACCACAAAAAGACAACACAAGGGTCAAGAAATACCGACACCTCGACACGACAGCTACGGAGACTACACATCCTTAGGACTCGGCGGAACGTTTCTACTACGACCTTGCCTGGGGCCCTACTATTCAGAACTTCGTTACACTGGATAGTGCTATGACTACTCCAAACCATCGGCGACCTCAAGGACGCTATCGTTGCCAAGATCTACGGACAATAAAAGTAAGGAAACGATCAAACGCCAAACCAGTACTCGCACATCAAAGTCTGCGGCATAAGCCAACTTGAGGAGGAGCTATCCGACGAGATGAAGATCCACTATCGTCCTACACTTGCTGGTGATTCAAAATGCTACATCGACAGACTTACTGGATCATTACGGCAATGCGGCCAATGCGATTGCTGAATAATACTGCAACGCTATGGGTATCCCATCGCCTAGCCATCCGTACAACAATTATTGGCCTTCGGCTACTATGCAGGGGCCACACAAGCGCGTGCACGGCGATCGCCCATCATGGGTTCGACTGGTCCTCGAGTACATTACTTATCCTATTTGCTGTCGCGACTCATACGGTGTACCACAGGACGCCGATCCACGATACATATCCCCATACTCTGTCTACTGCGCTGCGGGCAAGGGTATTACATGGACTACGCTACATACAAGGTATCACATTTTGAGTAGCTCGCAGCTCGCACGACGTGAGAGGCAAACGTCTCCTCCCCCCCCCGCTCCACTACGACCTCTTGAGCCTCGGGATGTAGGATGGTTTGGCGGCCTCCTCCTCATCCTCACTCCTCCCTCCTCCTCCTCCGCCTCCTCCTCCTCCTCCGCCTCCTCCTCCGCCTCCTCCGCCTCCTCCTCCTCCTCCTCCTCCTCCTCCTCCTCCTCCTCCTCCTCCTCCTCCCTCGGAAACGGAAACAGGTCCTCCGGCGGTACCGGAGGGCCTCTGCAGCCGGGGCGGCGGGCGCCCGAGCGCAGGTTCCGCGGCGCGGGCGCGGACCAGGGATCGCTTCCGCAACGCTGCGTGAGTGAGAGAGAGAGGAGGAGCAGGAGGATCATCGCAGGCCCGGAGGTTGACACCAGCACCAATATCGGCGGTGTGCCTCCATCGGGCCCAGAAGATCCCGATTTCGATGATGGTGGCAGTATCCGGGCTTCAAGGTGGCCGCAATATTACCACCAACACCGAAATTTAGGATCATCTACCCCCTGTGGAGGCAGCCCTCTGTCTCGGTGTTGGTGCCCATTTCCAGGCCTCCAAAGAGAGAGGAGGATCAGGATGAATAGGAGGAAAACGGCCGTCGCATGTGACACCTTTAGTCTTCACTGCCAATGGCCTTTGGCCCATGCCGCCACCGTGCCTGGGTCGTGGGTCAGAGTTCTCCGGGATGCTTCTTGGGGTATCTTCGGAGCGCTCTCGGGGGCCTTTTGGGGGCAGTCTTGGGGCCTCTTGGGGCTTCTTGGGGCTTCCCGGGGCCTCGTGGGGGCTTCTTTTGGCCTCTTTGGGGCTTTTTGGGGCTTCCTGGCGGCCTCTCGGGGCCCAGGGCTCGACATGTCTGTTCGGGTCCCCCATCTGGGCCCTATCTTGGAGGCGTCTTGGGGGCCTCGTGGCCGACTTGGGGCGGTCTTGGGGCCATCTTGGGCCGTTTTGGACTTGTGCCTCTGGGGGCCCTGGGGATACCTCTTGGGGGCTTCTTGGCCCGTTTCGCAGGCGCGTTGGGCCGTCTTGGGGCCATCTTGGGCGTTTTGGACCGATTGTCTGGCGATTCGAGGCGCTGTTGTACCATCTTGGCGGGCTCTTTTGGCCCTCTTGGCTCGTATTTTGTGGCGAGAGTCGACGCGCCCCCCAGGAGGCCCGCGGGGGGCCCCGAGAGATTTTGACAATTTCGGGCCTGGGTCCTCAATGGAATCCTCGTGC